GGCCCGGACGCCGCCGTGTTGGGAGGAGCAGACGGATTCGCCACAGAACGTGGGGCGCGCGGATGTGGGTTGGCGGGATGTAGGCACCGGTTGGATTTAGCGGGTGCTGCATCCAGCGGGGACGAAGCATCACTGCACCAAGCACATATGAAGCAGCCCCACACGCAAAACCCGTGCTCCTGCTGCTGCTTCTGCTTCATCTGCTGCTGCTGCTGCTTCTGCTGGTGCTGCTGCTGCTGCTGCTGCTGCTGCTGCTGCTGCTGCTGCCGCCGCCGCTGCTGGTGCTGCTGCTGCTGCTGCAGCTGCTGCTGCTGCTGCTGCTCACTTTGGCTTCCAGGGGAAAAGTGGCTCCTGGTCCGCGTAGAGAATGTCCTTGTTCACAGACACACCCTGGGTGTTGGAGGCGGCCGGAAGGGGGGGAGACATGCAGGCGTTCCGGGTCGAAAGGGTGCGGGACCAACAGAGGAGGGCGATGCGACCGCGGGTGGAGGGGGGCAGTGCAGGATGCGTCGGGAGTTGGAGGTGGACGGCTGTTGCACGGTGTTGGGACGGGGGCGCCGTGCGCGCCGGCGCCACGTGCAATGCTGCCATTTTTTGTGGGTCCGCCGCCGCCCGTATTTTCGCTGCTTGCAGGTGCGTGGCGTTGCAGTGGGCGGGCCATGTGCTGCCCGGCCGCCAACCCCTCTCCCTCCTGCTCGCAAGGATTGCCCTTCCTGGACACGCTCATTGCTGAAAAGACCACAAGCGCGCAGTGGCCCCGATGGGGCGGCCCGGCTAGCATGATGCGGCCGCAGCGGGCCGCAAGCAGCCCAGGCCGCTCGGGCGGGCAGCTGCTGCGAAAAGCGCCGCCAGGGCGGTGCTGCGCGCACCTTGATGCGCGCGCTGAGGGCGCCCATCATGAGCTTGCTGTGAGCCGCCTCGAGCCGCGCGGTCTCCGCGTCGTTGCCGCGCGCGGCATACTTTTTGAGGCTGTAGGCGCGGTTGATGGCGTTCTGATCCGAGTCGGCGGGGACACCCAAGACCTGGGAGGTGTTGTTTGGAATTTGGGCCGCGTTCGAGGCGCGATTGCGGTCGCCATGTGAGCTGAAAACAACGGTGTTCAAGGGATTTAACAGGCAGTGTCAGCTGCAGCGTCTGCGCCGGGGCGCGCGGGGCGCGGCGGCGGTGGTGCTGGGGCAGCGGGTGACGGAGCGCCGCTGTTGAAGGAAGTGTGGATATTCTCCGCCGCGGCACATGGGCTGCCTGTATCGCACCCCAGCCGCTGGGACATTATACGAATAAAGAGGGGCGTTCATTATATAACCAGCGCACCGCATACGGGTCCTCGTTGAAGTTTCCGGCGCTTAGGGCGGCGACGCACACCGCCCCACCACGCCGGCGCGCAATGGGCGCAGCGCCAGGGGCCCGAGCTGCGGGGCGTGCGGCCCTGAAGGCCTGACCACGCACATGCGTTCCGGCAAGCATCCTTTCGGCTGCTAGTCGGCCAATTGAGTGTCCTGCCGGCGCTCGAGAGTGTCTGGAACCGTGCTCGGAGTCGATAGGATGATTCAACGAATTTTGTATCTGATAGGTCAATCAGCTGAGACGCAATTTGGATCCATGCCACCCGTATAGCTCGCATCGATCTTGTGCAGTGAGACGGGCGCGCCGACTCGGGTGCCGAGGTGTTCACCAGGACGCCGAAACTGGCCGGTGCAGTCACACCACTACCGAATTATCCTCAGAGATATCGTGACATTTACAGCGATCAGTTTGCACACACATCAGATCACTCGTGTCTCTTCGACCGATCAGCGTGGCCAGGGCACCTAAGAAGAGCGCTCGGAGGTATTGCAGGCCATTTTAGCTTTACTGGTGGACCCTAGCCTCTCGGAGCGCCATGGCGGCGGTGAGAACGCGCGGCAGCACAGCGCACCATGCTGCAGCGGCCCCTCGCCAGCCCCTTGACACCCCCTTCCTGCGACACAGGCGGCACCAGTCAACCCCAAGCCATTCATGAACGAGCTTACGGGCAAACCGATTGTGGTGAAGCTCAAGTGGGGCATGGAGTACAAAGGTGCGGCTGCCGTCCTGCGGTAGTGAGTTGGGTTCTGCACCCCACAGCGTAAACCGCAAAAGCGCACACTTTTGAGAGGGCGGCATCAGCTCCCGGAGACAATGGCTATGGGTTGTACTCGTGGTCGCAGGCAGGCAGCCGTGCTGGCAGCACCTGTGGCTGGCAAGATGGAGGCAGGCAGAGCTTGAGTGCTGCAACGGCGCGCACTGAACGCGCGCAAGCACGTGTTGCGCCCGCGTTTGTTGTGTTGTATCGACTCTGCATGAGCGTAATGATATGTCCACCTTGTAGCTGGCACAACCTTTGGGCTTGTGACACGATGCCCACGGCGAAGAGCGGCGAGCCAGAGAGCAGCTGGCCGCGGCCACGCTGCACCTCCGAAACACTGAGCAGCCACAGCTGCAGCTCAAGCCCTTTGCGCCACCCCGCCGCTCTATCAAGTCCCTTCTCTGCAGGGATGTGCACACACACAAAGCACAAAGCACAAACACACACACACACACACACGCACACAAGTCACACATACACACATGAATACCCTGCCCCCCCTCCACTCCCACCGGCGCCACCCCCCACCCTGCCACCACCATTATCCCCCAGGCTACCTGGTGTCTGTCGACTCGTACATGAACCTGCAGCTGGCCAACACAGAGGAGTTCATCGACGGCCAGTTCACCGGCAACCTGGGGGAGGTGCTCATCAGGTGGGGGGCCAGGGGGGCCTGAAGGGGAGCCGGCCCGTGGCCGCAGCAGGCGGAAGAGAAGTGTGTGCATGGCCTGCCGCCCTCTGGCAGCGCAGCCTAGGCGGCGAGGCCTCACAGTCAACTCCTCCCGCTGCAGCTCTGGCCAGCGCTCGGTCGGATGAGGCGCGCGGCGACGCGCACGCCGGTCGCTTGGCAAGCGCTCAGGGCTGTGCGCCCCGTCGCTGCTGTTATCGGGCCCACCCTTGGTTGCTTGCCCCCCGAAAAGAGCTAGTCATGTGCCGGCACTCACGTCCCTGTTGCTGGTTTGTCCCACGCCGTGCCTCCGCCCCGCAGGTGCAACAACGTATTGTACATGCGGGGCGTGCCAGAGGAAGAGGCCAGCTGACGCGGCCTGGCCTGATCGCCGGAGCAGTGCCTGCGCCGCGCCCTCTGCCCGCTGGTGGCAAGCAGCCCCAGCGCCCGCGGCTGGGCCAGAGTGACCGTCCGCTTGCCCTCGGACGCCGCTCGCCACCGGTGCCGGGCGCGCTAGCAACGCGGCGCCGCTGCCGCGCCGATCAAGCGGCGGCCAGCATGCGTCCTCAGGGGAGTGCCCCCGGGTGAGGGGCTGCCCTGGTGGCAGTCGACCGCAGCCGTCCTATGTATGTGACCTCCTTGACCAATTTGCTGTTACACCAAGCTCAAGCTCAAGCATCCATATGTGTCATGTTGTCGGGTACACTTGGCAACAAGGGTGATAACTGTGGTGCAACTTTGGCTGCTGGGCCAGTCAGGGGGTGCAAGTGAATTCGTAATACGCTGCGACTTGTGCACATTGGCGTCAACTGAACCCAAAACGCATCATTGGCATCAGACGCCACATAGTACGTGTGGACAGCTGTCATGTTACTACTCAACAATGTGTGTGTTCCCCTGGGCGCGAAGGCGAGGTGCGCATAACAACAGCCGGAATGCCCGCCAAACTGAGAGCACCGGGAACAGCACCAGACGGCAGCCTGGCGAGTTGATAGGCTGTTGCACTAATGTCTTGCACCCGGCAGCAGTGTGCAGTATACAGTGGGCACACACACACACATACACACACACACATACACACACACACACTGCAAGGCTACCAATGGCAGCCTTTCTGTTTTGACTCTCAATGTACCCAGCAAACCTGGGGTGATGCTCTGCCTAGATGCGGCAACTTGTGCAGGCGCAAGGGCAGGCTGCGCCCCGCTCCCAGCCGAGGCCTGGCCCCACGGACGGCCCTGAGCCCATGTCCAGAGCCTACTGAGGACTGAGGTAGGCCCTGAGCAACAGGGTCGGCGTCACTGGGGAGCACACTGTCACTGCAGGCATCGGCAGCAGCTGCCGCGCAGCTCGCGTCGGCAGGCGTCGCATCCGAGAAGATCCGTGCTTTGCAAGCGTGACTCATGGTCTTGTTTCTGCCACTGAGTGGGCACGATTTGACATACATGCCACCACTTCCTTTGCGAGGGCCCAGATCCCAGCTTCGCGCCCACGGCCCCTCCCCATCACGGAATACAAAGATACACTACATAAGGACAAGCAATCTACTGCACATTCCGTTCACAGTCGTGTAGGTCCAACCCTGGGCATGCACTGTATTTTCTGCTACGGTAGTGCTTGGCATGCAGACAATTGAGCGCGAAGGGCGCATGCGCTGCACATGATCACACCCTGTGTGTCCGGCGCAATGTCTGCCGCCGCAGGAAAAAGCACCCTTCAAGCCCCGTTGGTTGGCCGCCATCAACACTCCCACCACCGCCCGACACTCTCAAAGCAACTTGACTCGTCATTCAACACTCGCGACTCGCCCCCTCCCGCCCCACCCGCAGAGTTGGTTCCGCCCACCATGCTATTCACAGACGCCCCCGACTGTCCATTGGGCTCCTTGGCAGCACTGGTGGACTCCCCAGACCTGCCAGACCCATCCCTAGCACAGGCCGCCGCAGACTTCCTGTCACACAACCCCAATTCCTCGCCGCCCCCAGAGGCGCCGGCCGTGTGGCTGCTGCAAGGCGAGGCCGCCCTCGTCGCCTGCAGCGGCGCCGGCGCCGCCGCGGGGGGCGCGGCGGCGCCGGAGTGGGTGGGCAGCACCGATGCGACGACGTGCGTGGTGGTCGCAGCCAGGTGCCCCGAAACGGGGCTGGTCTGGTGCTGCCACCTCGACGCGACGCCGGGGCCTGCGGCTGCAGAGGAGATCAGGGCGCTGCTGTGCGAACGGATGAGGGCGCCCCAGATATACTTGGTAAGTGATCTGGGGGCCCCCGGCGCGGGTGACATGGGCTCCAGCTTTCGGCCGCAGGTGGTTGGCAGCCACTGGGGCGTGCGGGAGAGCTTATGCCCGCATGATCCCGGTCCGTGCCGGACCTCATGCAGCTGCTCGCCGGCAGGTTTTGCCGGGCTGCGCCCCCGCCGCTCCCAGCGGCAGCGGCCTCTGCGTGGCGGCCCGCGCCCGGATCGCAGTGCAGCCGGCGACGCCAGCCCAACCAATCATAAATCCGCAGCCTCCCAAAACCAACAAACATTCGACAGGTGGGCGGCTACTGCGACGCCCAGCGCTTGGGCCCGGAGCTCTCCCTCGCCCTGCTGCAGTGGCTGCACTCTATGGAAGCTGCCCTGCAGCTGCGCCTCTGCGTCGTCGGCGCCCGCAACACCGACGCGGACGGCGCCCCGCGCGCGCGGCAGCTGGCGGTCGAGGCCGCGACAGGCGACGCGCGGCCGTGGGTGTTCGGCGCGGGAGGGGCGGGGAGGGGGCCGGAGGCGGTGCGGCGGTTTGCGGCGCAGCACATGCGGTGAGCTCTGTCAGAGAGCGCTGGATTGCGG